CCTGGCAGGCCATAAAAGACCCTCTTTCTCCTCCAAGTTGCTAAATCTCTGGACTAACTATTCACATCTTCCTTAGTCTTTTACCAAATACTTTCAATAAAATTATTGAGGAAATAATCGGCATACTTCTCCAGCAAGAAAAGCTGGCTGGGTACATTATCTATTTCAAGATTACCTGCCTGAAGATTATTCCATTCACGTTTTGTATTAGCTGAGGAGTTCTCTTCCAAACCATGCCAAGGCACCTGACTAGCAATGCCTTCAGTCAGACACTCGTAACACCAACACAGTTATTTCTGGGCACACATTTTGCAGGCCATCATATTTTGTGGGTAAATTTCTAGCAATTATGGCCAAGTTTCAACTCCTGTTCCTCTCTGAACTTAATCCATTTGTCTCCTATGTATCTGTAAAGTAACATTCTCCAAACAGACGATTTTTTCAATATTGTGAAAATGTACTGCAGTTCAATTTATTGTGTATGATGGTTAGCAAGTATTAAGTTGATAGCTCCATCATACAGAAGTGAATACTGACCTGTTTCTATATTTTATAATATTATAAATACGAGCAGACACACAAGTGTGCATGTGCATCGTCTTGATATTCAGGCAACTACAGAAACAATTACTACTCTATATGAAAAGCATCAAAAAATTGCAATGTTATCTTGAAAACTAGATCTTCTAGCAGAAATTTTAATGATATGGGGAAATAAAAGAAAAGGATCCTAAATACTTCAGCAGTAAAACATTGCAGCGAGGAGAAATTACTGACCAGGAGTACTTTCTGCATTTCATTTAGCTTGCTGTGACAGCACCTCATTTCAATCTTACTGTTTTCCTAAAGTAAGTCACACTTTAAAAGCTATTAATGGTAAGATGCTATCCTTGAACATAAACTTTGCAGAAACTTGGATCACATGTTCCTTTCCCTTTGTCTTAAAGGAACATGCAACTCATAACTCAAAAGCATACAGCTCTAAGAATTTAAACCAAAGAAATCAGCATATAGCAAAACACGGGAAGCAGTAACATGGGAGAAGAGAGGGAGTAAAACAACAAAACAAAATGAGTATCTTTGACAAGCGTCCCACCTTCAAGTTGTAACAAGCCATTTCAGAGACTCCGAACCGCAGACAGGAATTCCTTTGATGGGATGTCCTGCAACTCTTAAAACCATGCCTCCACCAACAGAAAGCTGCAATCGCTCATATTTTTCTTTCGAAAATGGCCTTAACTGAAACAAGCTGAGTTTCCTGCTCTCACATTTTAGGAAGTGTTGAGCTGCATGAAGCTAATGAGATGAGACGAGCCAGACTACAAAACAATACATCGGATTCCTTTGAATCAGCCTCTGAAAAAGATCAAATCCTACTCCTGCTATCACCCACCAGCCCAGGGCGCTTTGTCTAACACGGATGTTTTGAAAGGTGCAAAGGTCAGTATTTTTAATGGAGTTCCTTCGAGGGAATAAACCAACAAGACTTGACAGAAACTCATCATCCTGCTTTTTGGCTATGGAACAAAGGGAGCAATGTCATACACAGAATTCAGCCTTTCTTTGGATCACTCCAGCTAATTGCTACTCACAGACACTAAACCAAAGAGTGACTTTATGGTGCTTTTAAGACCCAACTCTTCCTCATTTTTTGAAAGCATTCCTAGACCTCGCACAGCAGCAACGTTAAAGCTCCCTCATCAGTCTGGTTTATACAGGTTCTCATTTGTATCATCTATAAACCTGGTTCTCAGCTGTGGCAGTCCAGCCACTCCGGGCTGCTGTTCCAGAGCCAGCAGCAGTACTGGGCTTCTGTACAGACATTATGCAGCCGCACAGATGATTAATCAGTAATTTAATGCAGCAGATTTATCTTTCTCACTTCTGTTGCAGAGCTTTGTACTAGTTCAGCACAGTGTTTAAGAGTACTCTATCAAAAAAAAAAATGCTCTAAGCAGCAAGAACATCCCGATCCCTTTACCTTAAATGCAATGAGGTGGAGTAAGATGAAGATATTTGGAGCATGCAAGTCTTTTGCATGTAGCACGTACATGTCTTTTACATGTAGCAACATGTAAACTACAAGAGATCCTGAAATGGGGAGATACTCATTTCATGTTTAGACTAAATAAGCCTTAGTTTAGCACAAACTAAAAAAAAAAAAAAAAAAAAAAAAATCATTTGTGAAAACAGACCTAGCACAAGCACATGAGTAAGAGTTGGAGGCACCATAATGATGCATTTCTGTAGCCAATAACACATCTACTAGTTCTAGGCACACACCACATGTGAATTTCGGTGTTTGTGGTAAGGCTGTATCCCATTACCTACCTCCAAATAGACCAGCTACAGAAGAGGGCTCATTGCGGAAATGAGAAGCATTAGGGTAAGCTTGAGGACCACAAAAAGAATCTGATAAGACATGTTACACAAGAGAGAAAGCCAGGAAAGGAGAAGAGGGAGAGTTACAGAAAGAGAACCAAGATATTTTATCTTCTATTCAAAAATTTCATTTCAAGTTAGTCTATAAATCCACATACACTCTAATAACATCGAACCAATGGAATGAAATCAATACACAACAGACACACAGTAAGAAACAAGTTTACATTATCTATAACACAAAAGGGGAAAGCACAGTTTCAAAGTTACAGCTATATTAGGATAACTACTTTTATTTTTTTAAGCAAATGCCATGTTTTACACCCTTGGAAGAAATGAGTGTAAAAGCTTCAAGGCATTTTTCTTATACCTGAAGTATAAGGGTACAGCCCAATAGTGGATTCATATTTGGTTGCCACAAAGGGATTTAGTTCAGTAAATGGATTGTAATGATCTAAAGAACCAGAGAGAGTTATTTTAAACCCACATTCACATTATTGTAGCACCTTGTTGGTGCTGCGGCCAAAAACTACATTTATGTTTCACGTATCAGTCTGTTGGGAGGTGACAGTTTGGTTCTAGTTACGGCTCTGGAGAATGAGACACTGAAAGGGAATTCAAGGCATCAGTGTCATCCTTCTCCAGTGACTTCAGGGCCGCCACGTGGTGAGTTCTGCACAAACCAGCGAGTGCCACAAAAACCCACCAGGCTCCTGGTTCACAGCTCTGCGCTGCCCCAACTTTTTGTGTGACTGCAGAACAAGCTGGATAGAGGAAATGGAACCTGACTAAGTAATAATCCTACTTAAAAAAATAATAATTTGTATTTCAAATGATCACTCTGCCTTCACATGAACCATACACGTTTTATCGGAAGCACAGGCAAAACCGAGGGGCCAGATTTTGACAGGGCAGTACCAGCTTCAAGTAATTTGTACAGTGCTGCTTCAGCCAGCTAATCCTCCCCGGGGACTGGGGAGTTCACAGCAAGAGTCCTTGTGCTTGATCGTGCTTCTCTCCTCACTGACCAAAGTCAAGTGAGGAAACTAGTTACCTCAGGTGACAAAGTGTAGATGGTGTGACTGTAAAGAGATCCCTTTGCTTTAATCTCCGTTAAAAAGGATCAGTTATAACAAAGAGATCTTTGATATGTGAGTCTAGGGATCCTCCTGTGATCAGTTCTAGTGGGGTACAACATGCAAAAAGAAAGGCCTGTTGGTGCAGCACGACTGTCTTGAAACGTAGCTTTGCTTGAGAACAGAACTGACCTGTAATTAACTGATATTGTAATTAATGGATTGGTGGGACTCGATCTCCAGAGGTCCCTTCCAAGCCCTAACACTCTATGATATTTAGTTTATGAAAGCTAACTTGAAGAATAATCATATTACAATGTTAGAAATGTCAGAAGGATTTCTGAGATGACAGCTATGCCCAATGACCTTCAAAGCAATATTTCAGCAGTTTTAAGAAGGCGAGTCATTAGTTTACAGCCTAGGAGGGAAAGTTTCAGCAGACCATGCACCAGAACATGCATGGCTTTATCAGTTTTGTTAATGTCAACACAGCTGAGGGAAAAACACTCACTACCATAAAGATTTAATTAAGTTCCTATGTTTAAAAACAATAATTTCAACCTGAGGAATAAAAATAGTAATGGTTTCTTCTGATTCTCAAGTGTACATAGTATTTTACCTTAAAATTCCTAAGCATAAGAGACCTCAGGTAAAACAACGCTCAAACAAGTGTTTTAACCGTACCTAAGTTCCTTAGCACCAGGTAGAATTGCATCCAGGTAGCCAAGCAAGGATTTTAACACCATTATCAGGGCCCAATTACTAAATCGAGTTCTAACATCACACAAAATCAGCCCCAAATGACCAGCTTTTTGTTTCTGAAAGGCCCCACAAATATACTTCAGAAACTGAAACAATGGTTTTCTTTTTTTAGGAAATAGGAAATTAGTTTAAAATGGTACTTTACCAACAAACATTTCATGTGTGGGTGTCCTACTGGTGAAAGTAGATACATCAGAAGACACAGAGAGATGAGCAGCATCGTTAGTTTTTGTAAGAAAAGGGTTTAAGTTTGGAATGGCATCATCAACACTATCAACAGTAGCAGAAAAAGGATCTGTTCAATTCCAGAGAGCAAGAGAAAGAAGAAAAGGGAGATGGATTTAGTTACATGCTGCTTCCTAGGTACAGAAGAGTAAGAGTTAAGAAGAAGTATATATAGTTTTCTCCTGACATCTCTACACTTGGGACAGCCTAGCTAACTGCTTAATTTTCTGATTGTCCAGAATTAGCTGTTCTCTGCTAAAGAAAAATACTATAGATCACAGAATAATCACACATTTACTTTAAAAAAAACAAACCACAAAGACCATCATGATTTATAAAGCGTGCTTCACCCTGACTGTATTTTATACTGAAAATCAGTTTGTTATTCTTCTCTAAACACCATCACTTTCTTTCTATGCTCAGTTGTGTCCTGAACACTTGCAACAATTCTCTGGAGCAGAGGCTGCCTCTCAGCACAGCAGAACCCCAGGTGCTAAGCGAGAATTTGATGCAGAACCATCCTGAGGATGGCTTTACAAACCTGAACATGCAAAAACGATGGAGCTGTACTTCTTCCTCAAACTGAGTTCATGGATATTTGTTGTCACTCGGCATCATGAAGTTTTCAACAGTTTTGACTACACTGAGGTAGCACACAGGACAAAAGCATTCCCTTCCTACTTGGGGCATCAGGAGCAAGCAGCTCGGTGTGGATACGCAACTGGCTGCAAGCAAGGAAAATCTGCTCTGCTTTGATGGACAACAGCCAGCGAGCAGTGACAGGGAAAACGTTCTTTATTAAAAAACTGTCAGACCATACCGGGGAAATGAAGGAAACCTGGATCTATGTGAGCCACTCCCGGAGGCATACAGGAGAATTTCAAGGTTTGCTGAGCATGGATACAACTGCCAAGCTAAGATATACTCCTGTACTCCAGGATGCAGCAGATCAACGAGACAGGAAAGGCAGCTACAATACTTGCTGACTGCAGGGGCTGTGGTTTACCTGTCTAGCTTCAAAGCACACAAACTCCTGATGGAAAACTCAAGAACTCACTAACGAGATCAACAAGAGTTGCATCTAGCCCTGTTTGTTTCATCACGGTGCCTAGAACTGCAACTTAACTCTCCCAGGGAAAACCACTACAGAGAAACATCAGAATAATAATTATAGCAGAGGTTTCCTGAGCACTTCAGTTCTTGCCCTTTTTTTTTTTTTTTAATATCCAAAATTGGTTAGATTACAGATCTACCCATAGCTCTTTGAAATGCTACCATGACACATGCAGCAGCTTCAAAGTCGCAGTTACTTTCCCTCCCTGAATCCAATCTCCTGATTCTTAGCTATAGATCCCAACGCAGCTTGGTAACATATAGGTTTCAGTCACATGCAAGTCCTAAAGAAAATGAAGTTTTAAAACGGCATCATTCTTTGCAGGCTTAATATACACTTGGATTTCCTGCAAGCTGGAGAGATCTTATTCAGCAAGACTTGACTTCTCTCCCAAACTGCCTGGCTACTTCGCAAGAATGAGTGAAGGACCTTAAAAAGCATTTTTTAAAATCATTTAGTCAGCAAAATGACAGTGTCAAGCACTGAATAAAGGATCAGCAGAATAAGCTAATACAGTATTTGCAAAACCTAACAGCAAAACAAAAAATCAGTATTGTCTTATACACATTTTAGACAGTAATATTATCACCTAAGAACTTGGGGGACATGCCAATCGGCCAGTCACCTGAAAGCAAACCTGTGCTTTCAGACACTTCTTAAAAGTGCGAAGCTACAGAACAAACAGATCTGACAATAAAACAGGTCAGGCAATCCTTTAATCAGCTCCTGTTTGCTTTTTCTGTTGCTGCTTCCCATTCTTCCGATTCTATTGCTTCTCCTTGGAATTGGAAAAAACGCAAACAGATAGTGTGGAAAGAATCAGTTTGACTGGATACATTTGTTTTGCTTCTGAAGTTTAGGTACAAACTGATAACTGGTAAATACACCAGACAGCTGGCATGCTCTCCCAACAACCCCAATAAACAGCTCAGATAATAAAACAACATGAAAGAAGTTAATAAGGAACAAGTTTTAAACTACTTTTGTTTGGAACTACTGTCCACCAAAATATCTTTTTTCCCACACAGCAGGAAAATTACTACATACTGCTTTCTGTTCCTAAATCTCAAGGTTGCACGTGGAGTTTCAGGTGTTTTGACTAGTGAAACAATGTAATACAACCTCAGATTACCAAGATTTTCTCAGCAATGTAATTTAATTTGTTCTCAGACTCTTCACTCGTCCATCTCATTCTAATTCCAACCAGCGTGTTCCACCTTGTCCGCACCTCAAAACCTGCCAATGCTAGTGACAAAGGTAACTGAAAATTGGTTGAGTTTGGGTAATTTATGCCCATGTATATTCACATTTTAAAAACTGATCTCTCTCCTGACAGCAGTTTCCTCAGTGTTTCCAAAGCCCAATTTCATCCGTGGATACACACAGCACCTTCAGGCTATTGTTAGGTATTAATGATTTAGGTGCATTTAAAGGAGGAATTTGAATTTTGCAAACTTCTAACTTAAAAGTTATCCAACTAGAAGTATTCTGCCTGAGAGAAAGAAGACAAAAGCTTGTCAATGGTTTCTCCTACAGTTTAAAAATGTAAACTGAAACCACACAGCTACAGAACCCATTCTCTGGGAACTTTTAACCTCGTGAGCTTTAACATTTTTGGAAGCGCAGGACAGAAGGCAGCAGCCCATATATAATGCCCTCATAACAATTTATCTTTTTAATAAAAGGGCTGCTGCATAAACTTTTTTAACACTAACTGATTATAGTCCACTGCAACTTGCAGCTGGTTCAATATTCTTCTCAAATTCACCAAATACACCAAATACAAACATCATCACGTCAGAAAATTACCTAAGGGAGGGATGCCGGGCAGTGGTTAGAGCACAGGACTGGAAATAGCTCAGGTCCCATTCTTGGCTCTGCCACTGACTCGCCGTATGACTTCAGACAAGTCAGTTAATTGCTCAGATTTCCCCATCTGTAAAACGTGGAAAGCACTTCTTATCTACCTCACCTACGTGAAGTGAGTGTTCATGGCTGTAAAGTTGTAGAGATTTTTTTTTTTTAAAAGGTAAAAAATGGTGATGTCAGAATTTTAGCCTCAAATTTTAGCAGACAATCCAAAAATTTTCACAGTTAATTAAATCTTAGAAGTATTTAGAAATGTGTCAATAGTAAGCAGGTACACCAACAACTATTACTGAAGACTCTTAACACGAGTAACACAACATCGAACAAACACAGACTTTCAGGCTCAATTTTCAGGTTATTAAAAAAATACTAGATTGTGATGTGACCTTCGAGAGGAAGATAATTTTCGCCTTTGATCTCTCACCCATGAAACAAATAGGACGAGCTGAAACAGAAGATATTTTCCAGGAAGCAAACAAGACAAGCTGAAACAGCCTTCCCCCCTCTAAGCCTATTAAAATTTGTATGCATAACTCGATATGCTCCTCACTGCATCTTTCTCAGGAGATTCTGTGCTCAGCAGAACTAAAGAACATGTACATTACATTTATTTATTTCTGAAGCTACCACATATATTAGTATCACTTCCATCACTCAAAA